CTCACTATAAAAAGGGGTTTTTATAGAGAGTGAAGGAATTTATTTTGACAGATTTGATTGTTTGCCAAAAATTTGTTAATTTACCAAAAAAAAATACTCGAGAGGAAAAATAGATTTATTAAGAAATTCGTCACGGGCACAAGTGAAAACTTGCACGAAATCAACAATCTTCAGCGTTAAATGTTTTGAGAGCAGCTAAAATGCCTTTTCAGACACGTTTCCGTGCCGAAGGCTAAGCTGACTAACGGACAACTAGAATAGCCAGAGCGTCGCAAGAACCATCGCAGACGAGAAGAAATTTTTTTGCACTCTGTAAGTAACGATTGTTGTATTTCAATATGATTCTTCAGTTGAATAACATAGTCATCTTTTAATTGCTAATGGAAAAAATTAGTATTGCAATGCAAATTATACGTATGTATATGTATATAAAAGAGTAAATATTAAACGAATAGTATCTCAAGCTTTTATATATGGCACCAGGAACTTTTTGCTTTAAAATTATAAAAGCATAGAATTATGGGCGGAAAGTTAGAATGTGTTTCAAGATATGCTAAGAAAAATTTTGAATGCAATATAGCTGCAAAGCTTTAAGCAATGAAAGCAACGATAGCTTTTAAGCTCATAAAACTTAAAAGCTTACTTGGGTATCTTACTAAGTTGCAATATAGCTTTTCACCACAGTCATTATTTGAAAGCGAATAAAAAATTTTACAGTTTTTAGAAGTAATATTTTAGTGTAAATGCCAACTATTTTATGTGATTTAGAAAAATAGCATGATCTATTTTTTTACATAATTCATAAATATTTTGTTTATAATATGTGGTTTTGCTTTGCTTAATGAATAAGCACATACTTACAAACGTTTCATACCATTCAAATTTTAATATGAATTTGGCCATCAATTACTAAAAGCAGTGTTACGTATACGCGCATGCTGCTTATGATAAAATTGCAAATCTTAACGGATAAGATATAACTACTTCTATAAATATGTGTATATATAATACAAAAATTCACATGATGGTCAAATACTTGTAAGTCTTCCCCTTGGGTAAAGTCAAAAGCTGAAATCTTTGAAAATGGTAAAATGTGAAAAACATCACTGTAGGATGAATCCATTGGACAAGAAAGATAATAAAACAAAAATGAAAGAAGGAGGTAAATTTTTCCAGAGAATGAAAAAGAAGAAACGATTTAAAGCTGATTTTCACAGTTGTTATTACGAAATAACAGGTAGTTGTAATAAAACAAAACCGCTTTAAAAAAAAAATTAAATGCCAAAACTGTAGATCTTTTCAACACCATGAAACTTCTCCTACCTCTTCTCGATAATTCAGATGATTTCTTTTTCCTTTCGTTTTTGTTAACTTATTTCCCTTTTTCAATGGGTATTATTCTACTATGATTTTATAAAGTTTTCAAAGAAATTAGTAAAAGGTTAGAACACAAAAATATATTAAAATCCACTTAACCTCGATCAATTAACTAATTCTATGATTTTTCTGTTAATTAGCAAATATTTGAATATAAAAATGTTCATTTAATAACTGTAGATTCTACATTACTCATGACTTCAGGGCAAGTCAATAAGAGCACAATCCATAATTTAAACATGCATAGCTTTATAAATGCAGGATATGACAATTTAGTTATGAGACAACTGAAAATTGGTTTTTAACGGGATTATAAGAGAAGAGCAATGTGTTAAACTCATTAATACACATATGTATGTTAACTGTGTTATATCCACGAGCTAGAATTGCTAATGTATCGTAGCCACACACACACATACACACGAATACAAGGCGTAACAGATGATAACAGCCGCCAGCGTTTAAGCTTATTTAATGGATTTCCGTTCGAATGGCGTGGCGAGGTGATGGCAAACTGTCAACTAGGTAGCTGTCGAGCATTTGTAAATTTACCATATAGGTAGTTGTCAGCTATACGAAAGTGATGCACTAGTGGAACATTTTCGAAGCTCATCGGTGGTTGGTTTGCTAACTGATTCAAAGTGAAGCTGAAACTCTGTTACATAAACATGAGATCGGATAAGAAATTAAATGGAGACCAGACCGTTTAGAAATTAAATTTTCATGAAATCCTCGCTATGTAGATTAGATTAGTTTAGGTTAAGAGGTCGATTTCAACAGGGATGGATATCTCCCATATACTGAATTAGAAGACCCTTACAAATCGATGAAGCGCTTTGAGCCTATCACAAACTTTTTGAGACAACCTATGTCAGTTTCAGCTATGTCTTCTAGCTTGCCGAAAGTAAGACTACCGAGATGTATCAGCACCAGTCGTGCAAAGGCTGGACAATGGAGGAGAAAGGGCTTAGATGGCGCAAGAAGCCAATATATATCCAACACGGTCCCAAATAAAAATTACAATAAATACAATAATATATTTTGAATGGTTCAAAATGATGTGAGTGAGCCAAGGATGACCCCTCTAACTAGCTTATCAGCTTTGCAAATAAAATATTATGAGATTCCACCTCGAACTCGCTATGAAACCAAATCCGCCACTAATAACCTATATTCCATTAAGCTCTAAAAAATGGTTGTATTTTAAACAAATGAGGCTGAAATCAGCAGTCGAAGCATGCCAAAGCAAACCTGAATACAAAGTTATATATTATATATACATTGTGACCAAAAAGTTTCCACTCTTTTCACTCACTTTTTTTGTTAAGTTGGTAGCACTGTCCTCAATTACTATGCCAGAAACGAGCTCGATCTGTCAACCAGTTTGTTTGCATCAAATTTTGTGTTTCGAACCAAATTTCATGTGCGAAATCGTTGCGTAGGGCTTATGGTGAGTCTTTTCTATCGAAAACCCAAGTCTACAAAGGCTTTAAGGATGGAATGATGAGAAACCGTCGAAGACATGCTTCGTTCCGGCCGTCCTTCAACGTCTACCACTAACGATAAAATAAAAAAAGTGAAGGAAATCGTGCTCGAAATTCGTCATGCGAATGTTAGAGAGATAGCATGTAAGCCAAACATCGGCCGTGAAGCAGCTCGCTTGATTTTGACCGTTAATCTGGGCATGAGACGTATAGAATTGCCCCTGCTAACGGCCTTTGTGTATTTCGAATTGTAGGCGTTTTGTAAAAACATAAAACATATGCCTATGAAAGGAAAGGAATACACAAGTTTACACTAAACGAGAAATTTTATCCTGACCAGCTCTCTTATTACGCTGCACAATAGTTTTTGGTGGTATTCCTATACAGACTTTCATACATATATGTATATTTTTATATGCATGCTTAATGATCTAACGACCAACCGTCAAGCGGAAATTCATTTCGATCGACGAATGTTTATTCGTATTTTGAAAGGAGAGCAGATTTTTATTGGATTTGATTTGTTTGTATTCAATGTTTTAAACAGCTGGAAAATTAGATTAAAAGGCAGAAAGTTTCCGAAAATTGTTGGTTCACAATTCCGGCCGTTTACGACGGCTGTTTTCGCGCAAAGGCCTCAAAACGCTCACATAATAGACTTAATTGACCGGCTGTCCCGCTGAAATGAATTCATGATGAACCAAAACCGCGAATATCGAAAAACAAAACAATTCCCGAAACTTTCTGGCTTACAGAGAAATACTGTGCTACAGAGTATAATGCACGACTTTAAGCAGAAAAACTCGTTTAATACCATCTATCAACCACCGTATTCACCGGTTGGCCCCATGCGATGTTTTATTGTTTCCAAAACTCAAGTTATCACCCCGTGGAGCCCGTTTCGACTCAAATGAGGTCGTAAAAGAAAATTCGCAGAGGGAACTGAAGGCGATCCCGGACAGCGCCTACAAGGCATGTTTCGATGGAATGGAAATAGAGATGGCATATGTGTGTCCCTTCAGAAGGAGCATATTTTGAAGGCGAAAAAATAAATTCTTTCTGTTCACAATGTATGTACTTGTATAACGTTCCTTTGATCTTCTAGTCACTCTTTCATCATAATTAACCCACACAGTTTCAGTAGTACGATTTCCTTTTTCCTTAAAACAGGTTTCAGTTATGACGTTTACTCCTTCATTATTACAAAATTTCTCTGCAACTAGGTATATACTTGGCTCAGCACCAAATAATTTTAAAATTTATTGCCGTTGCCATGAATGTTAAATGTGGATGCAAAACGCTATCATAATTAGTTAAAACAATTACATTTTTCTTGTGTTATAAGAAACCAAATGCAACTGCCCTACCAATAACGCCAAAATTAAGTTGTAACATGGCGGCAAATGTTTGCCGGCTCTGAAAATATTATCAGCAATCACCATTTTCGAAACTATAACAGTTGGTAAACAGCAGCAATTACAAACATATACGAGTGTCTATGTGTGCAAAAGCAATGCCAATGCAATCAGAGCACCGCCAACTAGTCAATAACGGCACATGGTGAAGCACAACCATGGCAGCAGCAAAGCGCGTAAAATCAAATTTACGAACAGCAACACAAATAACAACAAAAAGTCCAAAAAAAAAAAGAAGCATGTGAGCAATTCGCACAAACTGTCTCAGCACTATCTGACTGGAATTTAGCGTCTATATACGCATTTTCAATTGTTGTTGTTATGCTAGTTCACCAGTAACTTATTTCGTACTACCACTTCTCCTAAGCAAATAGAGGATGAAAACAAAAATCAGCTGATTACAATGGAGCATAGCACACTGCCCTTTCAGCATTTGTTTGTCAAACAATAACAAAATCACGCAGCTAAACACAAATGCATACATACATATGAATATGTTGTTGTTTGCAAAATACGTGAGAGTATAATTTACAAAAACAACAGCATGGTGTTGAACTCTCACTTTTGCGCTGCGCTACAGTGAAAGTAGTGAAAGCTTTCTAATATTTGCGCGCTCTATGTGTGTGTGAGCGAAAAAGCACAGGAGGCGCCAAGCTCAACTCTAACATGCTTGTGGAACTTATCACGGCTCCTCCATATGAATGAAATAGTTTCGATTTCAGTTCAGTTTTCGAGTTACTTTCAAAGCGTTTGGTTGCCTACACGGAGGTGACAACGCGCACGTAGTGCAAATTTTGCTTATAGCAGACAAGCAGACAAGCTGGCGATTTGTAAATTGCATTTGCATTTGCAAAAAGTTCTATTTTGTTGTTTGTGCACACCCCTGTAAGTGGTGGTTCAACAAAATTTCATAGCGCAAAAGTGCTTACGCGGCGGTTCCATAGTGAATTCGAATTTTATAGTGTGTTGAGCGAAATGAGGGAAAAATAAATAAAGCGAGCAGAGTGTGCGGCGCAGCAACGTATATTGCTTACAAATCACTATTATTTCATTCTTTTTAGTGTGAGCTTTTAAAGCGGTAATCGGCGGAGGAACGCCGCAAAACCTGCTAGCAGCGTGTTTGTGCCAGAGCCAGAGTTGTTTGTATTACGGGGCGTATACGCAACGTTTAGTGTTCTAGTCGCAGCTGTAATCAAAGTAGCGTGTGAATATGCTGACAGATTCGTATTAGGCGCAATAACTACAAATTTAATCAAAATATTTCGTATTTTACGTAGAAAATTAGTGTTGATTTTAATTGGTTGTCTTCATTGTGTGTCTAATATGCAGGAATTTGTGGATTAAAAATTTTATTAAAAGGAATGCTAACAAACTGAAATATTGCTGTGCTTAACTGAAAATCAGAAAACCAGGTGATTACCTAAAAAAATATTAAATAATTTAAAATAAAATACATAAACCATATGTTGCTTTATACACATTTAATTATATATAGATATTTTAATATAGTTTACTTTCAATATGAATATAAAAACAAATTCTTCATAAAGTTTAAACATCTTTATGCTACTCGTGCATAAATATATGTTTCTTAGTAAAGATGGCTGAGCTCACAGAAATTACCATAAGCTAAGTTAGTGACACTATTTTAAAATTCTTTTAGCTATGAGTAACTACAAGCCGGTTCCAAAGTTGTTGCATAAATGCCCTATAAAAATATAAGTTCAAAATTATTATATATTATATTTAATAAAATTTCCTTAACTTAGCTTAGGTATCGTACGTGTAGTAAAAACATGCCGATAACTCTGAAATTGTTATCATCTATTGCATAACATTATCCAATACCAGATATCTGTATCATATATATTCATACTACATTTTGCTTTCATTCTTTAACTTAAATTCTATAATATAAGCCGAGGATTTGTGCTTTTTAATTATTTTTTATATTAAAAATAAAAGCCTGACTATTTCAAAATTATATATCAATACTGATAACAGCACTTGTAGCTTCTGAGTATAATACTTTAATAAAAATCGCGCTTAGGTTTTCAAGTATAATATTATTGCGTTTATGTCTCATCTACCCAGCGCTTCCACTTCACATTTAACACGGGTGAAGACCTGCAAAGTAAAGGAATATTCTCTAGAACTAATTATATTGCACCTAATTGATAAACTCGTTTTCCATAATCCTATATCCTTCCAAATAGCGGTAATCATTTCGAAAAAATAGAAACGTTTCCGTTCGCCTTTTATCCCCGCTGAAAATGTTTACATTTAGTTTGCTGTCGAAACAGATTTATTTTAGCGTGGCATCAGAGTGGCGTGTTATACCGAACTTGGGAAATTTTTAAAAATATAATCTGGATAATTTTGCTCTGGATAAACGTTCGATGATTTTTACAGCCTCTTGAAAATTAAACAGGGCTATGAAGCGGTATACTTGCGTATAACCTTTAGAGTGAAGTTTTCTTAAGCATTAAGGCAGATGAAGAATCTTATTTTTAAATTTTTAGGGACCTCAATGGTCAATACGGATACCAAGAATCGTCTCTCTGCGCCATCTTTAAATGGCGAGCGGTGTGTATGAAGAACCAATCACAATTCTTCAATTTTAGGACCCTCACATGATAATTTCACCACCATAACTTATTGTATACAGTGTCTTAAACCTATTTACTCTTGGACTTTTCATAGCTTCTCGTATGAGACTTCAAACTCCACACCAACATTTTTATATTCATACCGGTAATATTTTCTTTGACAAACTTCAAATAAATTGAACTAATGCAGACAGCACGAAAAATGTGTTGGGCATAAAAGCCAAAAAACAATAATAACACAATAAGATTAAACACGATTCTATTATAACTAAAATCTAAGGCATGATATTACTACTACGTACTTTAGTCTTTCAATCCAAATTATGTATAATGCGATGTGCATGTGTATGTATGCGTGAGTTTGAGTGCATAAACTAAATAGCTTTCATGCCATCAATACAAACGCAAACATTGTAGTGGCGCTCTTGCGGTTGCTCAACTCGGTTGCTTTAAGTAATTCAATTACCAAAGCTAACTGTATGTTGGTGCCGCTGTGTAATAACAGCGGGCAGCCGAGCAGTCAAGTGAACTGACGGTCTGACAGGCTGTAGTGGCAAAACCGGACATGAAGATGGTGACAGTATGAATACACTATGTAAAGTGATTGTGTCGGTAGACTGACCAAAACGACAAATTCATGCAAATGCCAAATATCATAGTTATATTGGAATTAGTAAAGCATACACTGAGGCGCACAGACAAAAAGGCAGCTAATTAAGATGGAAGGAGAGATTGGTTTCACAACTAAGCAAGATTTTACATGTATTGGCTTATAGAATATTTGAGGTAGCTTTCTTCATTTAAATACCACTAATCCCAATAATGTGAAATTGTTATAATACAAGGGTTAGCGGGCACACCTAGTTTTTATGAAATAAAAAAAAAATAATAAATTAAATTTTTTTAAATTTTTAGGATACATTTATATATACATGCGACTAATTTCAAAAAAACCAATTATATTTTAGCAAATTGATCGCGATATCTCTAAAACTGTGGGACTACTTTGCGTATATATAATAATATATAAATTTGCAGTATATCTGCTAATAGCAGTTTATATTGTTAATTTGGCTTTTTTGAGAAACAAGTTTTAGGGTATTGTTCAGACAACGTCGTAGATCTGCTGAAAGGATGATAAATTCAACTTCAGTGGCAATTACAACCGGAGAATGTTTATTTTCTTTAACCATTCAAAACCATATAACTATATTGATAACTGGGGATAAATGAATCTGCTGAATAGCCTACAATCAGGTCGAATTTTAATCTATTTACCAAGAGTGTAGAAATTATCTAAACAAATATTTGTAATCCATCACACTAAGCTATATACTCTCAAAAGCACTACATTAGATATATGGATTTTATGTAATCCATCACACTAAGCTATATACTCCCAAAGACACTACATTAGATAAATGGAGTTTTATGAAATTTACTTAGAGATACGTGTTCAAACTATCAGATTGGAAGAAGAGGCATTTCTCAGAGTCTCACCAACACCGTTTGCAAAAGTAGAGCACAAAGCTTGTCCTGATATTTTGTTGTGGACAATTTGCACACTTGAGTATTTGTGTATTGTAGTTATTTAAAGTTCAGCTTTTCTTGTCTTGATAGGGTTAAATATAAAACATCGATTGGAATGGGTATGATGATTTTTCAAGATTTGATGTTTTTAATTGCCAACACCTTTACTCACAATTATAAGGCTGACTCTCTTGAAATGTTGTACAGAATAAAGACACTTCACGACGAAATATCTTCCAGATTCAGCTTCTTATGCTTCATGCAACTTGCTTGCTCTTTTCGTCAGTCTCTAAGCGACCTTAACTTTGCTAGAAAAAAGAAAAACGACATTTCTCGATAGTGTGGAATAAGGCAGATACCTATTTAGGATAGTCATAGACTTTTAGAAATAGTAGCCTAAGGTCAAATGTGTATACCACAATGCATAAAATACTCCCTTATTCCTTGTTTTGACTAAGACTCACATTTATATTTTTTACATCAAAAGTTTGCTCTTCAATTGAAAACACAACTGATTGCAAAGACATTTATTTAAAGGATATATAATATATAAAGAAATTCTTTATAAAAACCGAGCTTGAAGAATTTCTGGACAAAGTAAAATAAGAAAATGTTGTTAAAAATAGCAAAAGCAAACATTTCAGTAGAGGTGGGCGAGACAAATATGCAATCCCTACAAAAAGGGAAAAAAGTAAAAAAAAAGAACAAAAAAAAAGAACAAATAAAGTACAGATGTACATGAATAACTGAAATGAAGTAAAAGAACAGTAAGAAGAATTAAAGTAGAAAAATCGCTGAACGACATTCAATGGAAATAAATGTTTACTTATACAAAATCACAATAAAATCAAATAAATTCCTTTTACATATTTACTGAGGAGCAGTCTGACATGACAAGCTTGGCGACAGCGGCAACGAATGACGGAATAAAGAGAATTGCTGCAGGCAAACATGTTGGCGCTCGAAGCAGCGCTACCGTTGGTAGTGAATGAACACGCAGCTCGCTAAAATAACTTAAATAAGTTGTATATTAAGTTAGTTATTGTTTGCCAGCAAGTGTTAGCTTCTACACTGTCCGACAGTGAATGACTTGCTGGCTGTCTGTCGTTGCATGCATAGCATTGCTCTCGCAGCGCTTCATTTGATTTGTCAGCTGTCAAACTAAGCTAACGGAAATGTTTGTTATATTCTATTATTTGTTCAAGGATTATTTAAGTGTATTCACAGTGCGCAAAATTCATTTTACGTGCTTCCAGAATTAGATTTTACAAAATCTTGGAAGTGTTGAGGGTGGTGATTGGGTGATTGTAGTGACTGAGAAATCGTAGGCTTATTTTGAACTATAGATGATTACCCAAGCATATTCACCTTTTTCATAATTTCTTAAAACTACTTTTTCTAAAGTTTCTGCTCGCTTGCGGATTGTGATAAGTGCTAATAAGTTACTAATTTGGACTTCCCAAGGCCGGAAAAGAGAGGTTATTATAATATTATTCTATTAGAATTGTATGTCAGAAAATGTGATCAATAATGTGCTGCAATATTTAAACACTTTAGCGGCTGTGATAGCAAATTTATGCATGCCTCGAAATTAAAAACCAAATTTATACTTCAATTACTGATTTGATAATTTATAATGGTTTACGAAGTCAATCTTTTAGAGACATTTTTTTTTTTGTGAACCCATAGAAATTTCGTTTATTATTATTTTCAATTCCTTTACTTCCTCAGGTTTTGAAAATAAATTGTGAATTCAAGCTCAGATTGCAGTTGGAGGCTTATTTTGAGATTTAGGTTCCGATTTAGGTAATTCTGCACCCAATTATGTTATCTCCTTGTAGTCTTTAATAACATAAGCGTTAGTCGTAAGGGTTAAAACAAAGTATTAGCAGATGAAAACTTATAAGCCACAAGTTCTTGTTACTCGTGTTTTCTGAGATTTGGTGCATAGTTTTCCATATTTACATTATCATTTTATTATTAAAAAAAAAACTTTATATTGGCAGCTCTTTTTTTTCAATTTCAAGTCAATACTATATTTAGCGATTTTGAATCAATTTGCGCTGTAATTCTCTATATGTTACTTTTATTTAAACCTTTTTGGATTGAAGGGTCGTTGACAACACCATGCCAGTACACTTTATATAAGTAGAAGCCAAGCCTTTTCATAATACAAACCTCTCAAATACATATACATATAGTATAATGTTAAAAGTATATTATGAAATATAAACACATTTATAACTTTTTTCACACACACACACGAAACATAA